GGAAGGCCACAGAGATAGATGATCACAGGGCTGGAACACCTCTCCTATGTTGAAAGGTTGAGTGTTAGGGTTAGGGCTTGTTTAGCTTAGAGAAGAGAAGGCTCCAGGGAGACCTCATTGCAACCTTCCAGTACTTGAAGGGAGCTTGTAAGCAAGAGGGAGACTGGCTTTATATGCAGTCTAATAGTGATAGAACAAGGGAGATTGGCTTTAAATTAAAACAAGGAGAATTTAGGTTAGGTATTAGGAAGAAATTCTTTACTCAGAGGGTGGCAGGCCCTGGCACTGGATGCCTGGAGGTGTTCAAGGCCAGGTTGGATGGATTCCTAGGCAGCATGGACTGGTGGGTGGCAATCAGCCCATGGCAGTGGGGTTGAAACTAGATGATCTTTTAAGGTTCCTTCCCACCGAAGCTATTCTGTGATTCACTGATTCTATATTCTAGAATAAATGAGACACCTTTCAATTGAGAGTGTCTTGCATCCCTGTGATTATCTTTAATATCTTTCCAAAAGCCTCGTTTACTTGATTATTTTTATTTCTAGTAAGGGAATAACCTATAATGAGCAATCAGAAATTGCATCATTAGAGAAGTAAAAGAGAGCTACAGGGCAGAATTGTCTCCAGCACACACCTGCAGGGGATTCCATAATTCTCCGAAGATGAACCATGCCCTTTGGGTGATGGCATGTTAGGTTGCAGTTCCTGTTAGATTTTTGCTTCTAGGTGGAGTAAACAGCCTGTGGGAACGAGAATAGAGGTCATTTCAGTCCCTTTCTTGGTGGTTTTATGTGACAGAGATTGTACAGCTCTTAATATCACTGTGTAGAGAGAAGAAATTGTGTATTAGTGTCTCTTTTTCGCCCTTCCAATATACAAATGGGGAGTAAAGTAGGCACAGAGCTGGGAAGGGGTCGTCTTTAGAAATGTGCATCTTCTCATGCAAAGATTTGTCAACTGCTGAAGTACAGATACTTACAGAAATTGTCTCCTTCCAGATAAAGCCCTTTTCCCCCTTTTTTCCTTTCCTCTATCACCAGCTGCATATAACATCTTCCCATTTGTAGAATAAATCTGATAAAAAAATGTAGTTGTAAGCAGCAATGATTTTATCCCAGTGAAAAGATATTATCCAACAGAAAATATGTTGTGCTGGGGCATAATTTTTCAGATATGATGAATAACAGCAAAGTGCGACCCTCAGTCCTAAGAATTTAGCTTTAAAAGAACCACTGAGCATATCAGATAAACTCAACTTTTTCTCTCCTATCATTCTTTTCAAAGGCAGAGTTTGTTTTATAGATACATCATGACAAAAAGCTGCCACAGGCAAATTTCAACAAAAGAGCAACTTCAAACACATCCAATTAACAATTTATGAAAGGAAATCCTACAGAAAATTACACAGAGATTCACAGGGCATAAAATTTGGCACTAAATCAAATTTAATGTGGAAATGCATATACGGGGAGTTATGGCCCCTTGCAGAGCATTGACAAAAGGAACTTTATCTGTGGAAGCTCAATGAGTGTCCTCTGTCATAGCTCTTTTTGCTATAAATAAAAGATTTTGTCAGAGACAGAAAAACTGAAAAGGGAAAGAAAACCCCTGATAAACCCAGTTATACACAGTTCTCAAGCAGAAGTATTAAAAATAATTAGATTTCTTTGCACTTTCAAATCCAGGATTTGTGCAGTTTGTCACTGAATTGAAGGGCATTGTACCATCAACAACTACAAAATCAGTTTTCATTTGTCAGCACAGCAAACCACGGTATATATCCCACTAGCAGGTCCTGGTGACTGTATTTAAAGTTATTATGGAGCTGTTTTTGTGTCTGGATGGAAATTTTGGACCTCCCTCTGTATTTCCTTGTCTGACAGTTCATTTGTTCACTCAGCTGTTGTGGTTGGGTTTTCTCGAAGGATATTAAGTATACAAAATCACATAATTGCCTTCAGTAGCTCTGAAATTAACTTAAGCCACTACTTTGTTCGGAGAAAAACATCTGTGTCTAGACCATTATCTATTTAAACACATAAATAGCCTGCTTTTGTAAGAGATGGCTGAGCAGCATCACTTGCATTGCTCCATCTGTATTATTTTGGGGTTGTTTACAGAGACTAGAACGAGCGAGGGAGGGCGACTGATAAGTTGACAGAAGCCAAGACCAAGCATCTTTGTGATGCAACTATAGTATTACATGTACTAACATAATCTGAAGAGCTGCTTATTGAACTGCTTAGTTCCTCTGCTCCTTCATCAGAACAGAATGGGGAACATTAGATCATTAGAAAATTTGGTATCTTCCACTGAAATGTGTATCTTTACAAGAAAGCATGGATTCATGCATCCATTCATGTGCGTTTGAATCCGTGGCACAGCATCCTTGTGTTAGTTGAGGAGAGTTGGACTAGAACAGTTCCTTCCAACTCAAACAGTTCTATGGTTCTATGATAGTATAAGGTTTTCATTGTCTCAGAGGTATGGGCCCTTCCAGCCTGCATGTTCTTGGGCAGTATAACTGCCTCTTCATAATGTAGTTAGCCCATTGGTGCAGATGAGATGACACCCTATGTCACTATAAATGTAGCCCTATAATACCCCATGGTGGTTTTCTTATTTTGTTTTTGTTGGTTTGTTTGTTTGTTTTTTCTTTTGAGTCCATTTTGGCAGTGAAACCAGATTAGTTAGCGTCCAAGGCACATAATAATTGGTGAATGAAACACCCCTAGAGTATCTGAATCCTGTTAAAATATGTCTTTTAAAATGTTAATGAATTTATAAACTGATTTTAAATGATGATTTTCTTCCCATAACACACTCTTTCTGTGTAGATAACAGATCCCAGGGAAGCACAAGGTGAAACAAAGTTAGATGTTCATGTCAGAGGTTTTTATCTTCTGCTTATATGTTTGAAATACACTTGACTATATATGACCCGTTTTTTCTGTGTGCCTCTGCCTCTTCTGTTACCCCACTTCCTTCAGCACGTTGTATAATTCTCCTTGTCTGAAACTAGATGATATTGATAATAATAATGGATTACTTTTGTTAGGCAGCACCTATATTTTTTTAGCTCTTTAGTTTCCAATTTCCAGAGATCACACACTTTTTTTTAAGGAATGAAAGAACATTTAAACAGTTAAATGAGTGATTCTAGGTGCATAATATTCTTCAAAATACAGGAAGTTCAGGTTGGGTATTATAGGAAAAAGTTATTCTCAGAATGTGTGGTAATGCATTGGAACAGACTGCCCAGGGAAGTTCTGCAGACCCTGAAGATGTTCAAGAAACATGGAGATGTGGCACTGAGGGACAGGGTTTAGTGGGCATGGGGGATGGGTTGATAGTTGTACTTGATGATGTTAGTGATCTTTTCCAATCATAGTGATTTTGTGATTCTGTGAAAATCAAGCCAGATCATTTGTCTAAATATGGTTGTAATAGTTAAGTACTACTTAGTTTCTCTTTGCTTCCTTCAGAGTTCCTCTAAAGCAGATCTCTAAGCAATGCAGCAAGAAGTAAAATCCCTTATAAGCTGTGTTTTTTCCTCATTCACCTGCCTCCCTCATGTGTGCTTGATTTTCTCATTCTTGCCTAGGTGATTTGACATTTTTCAGTCTTTTCCACTGCAACTTCTACTCCAGTCCTTCCAGTTTTCCAGTCCTTTTGTGATCTTCTAACATGATCTCCTTTGGCCTTGCTCCATGTTCACTGTGAGGGAATTTGAGGCATTTAACATCTTTGTAAACTTGGCTGCAGCAAGAGAGCAAAGGCTTTCACTTCTCAAACACCACCTCTTGAAGAGCCCCCGTGTTTCTGCTTCAGATCAGTCTAGATTCAGAGAGCTAAGCATCCTCCTGAACTGTTGGGCTTGTTTTCTTTTGTAATGTTCAGCAACTTTGGGGATATTCAGGTCAAGAATGTGCTATAGCAAGTGCCATTTCTTCTTTCAACTTAAGAGTGTTGGAAGCAGTTGGATTGCTCTTTTATTGTAACTTTTGATGAGGAGTCAGAGCTCAGATAAAGGCCAGCTGAAAGGACAGTGTGCATTGTTTGAAGTGAAATACTTATGCAATTGTAGGACTGGAGTCTTTTGTGGGACCTATTAGTTTAGGACTTGAACTTAACCTCCTGAATGTCCATACCAACCTCATGTCTGTTCCTTCTCAGAGTTCGGTAAAGACTGAACTATCTCAGTAGATGCAGAAGCTAAAGGATGGGAGGAGAAAACTTGCTGAACATCTACCCCTGCCTGCACGGTGGATGCAGCTGAATCTTGAACGGGCACTTTGAACATGGGTCTAAATACCAGAACAGCTCCCAAAGGCAGAAATCAGTAGCTTACTTAGAAAACAGTATTTGATGTGTAAGCAAAAGGTAGTGAACTTTACAGAGGAGGCCCTATGATGCTGTACCCATGGCAGGTGGGTTGCAACAGGGTGATCTTTGAGGTCCTTTCCAACACAAGCCATTCTGTGATTCTATGATTCTGTACGATTCTCAAGCTGTTGACACATTACAATAATGTTATTTTCCTTTTTTTTAAAACTCTATTTATATTTTCCCAAAAATAAACAAGATATTTTCCTTTGTTGTGTTCTGTGATGTAAGTTGGATTGTTAAGTCTTCAAGGCACATACACAGGACTTGTGTATGTCTGAGAAAGCATCTCATTCCAGAGAAACCTGCAGTAAAAGGAATACAGTAAATGTGTATTTTTTCATTTGCACATAAATTTTTTGTTCTGTGAGAACTGTCACAAGCTGGATGCTGGATGTCTAATGTAGCTCAGGAGATATGGCTTCAGGTCCTAGCATTCCTCAAGACTTGATGTGTGTCCTCTTATGTAACTTCCTGATGCTCTTTTCACCTTTTCACCATGGTTCTCGTAGCCTATTATGTCAGTGTTTTCTTATCCTGTAAGAAGGCCATGTGTATATATAACTAAAGAAGATTTACGCTTCCTTTGCTTTCTTCTCATTCTTCCATCTGAGCAGAGCCCTAGGACTCCCTTCTCTGACTTAGCTGACGATGAGAAGATCTTTAATGGAGGAGATGGCACGTGGCAAAACCAAAGTCAGGATCAAGCCTTGCTCTCGGAAATCACAGAGGAGGATCTGGAGGCCATCCGTCAGCGGGAGGAGGCCATTCAGCAGATTGAGGTCAGTAACTTTCTCCTGTCATGGCCTTACCAACTGAAGGTGCAGACATCTTGTGTTTTGCATTGCTCAACATGAACAAAAGAAATGCTTATTTATGCGGCTGTCTGTATAGCATCACTAGATATAGGAGAGATTATTATGCTATTCTGAAAATGAAGGTGCTTGTCTGAAGGAAGAATTAATAATTAGCATGACCAAAAATAAAAATGGCAAGAAGTAATCAGTTTTCCTTGGTTAGTGTTTTCCTCTTTCATAATGGTCTGTAGTGATTTACTTTACTGAACTTCATTCCGCAGTGAAACGACTTTCCTCGTGTGTGCAAACTTCAGACTCAAATCTGTGATGGACAGAAATTATTCATCTTTACCATTAGAGAGAATAATAAATTAAATAACTTCTTCAGGTTTTCAAGAATTATTGCTTTATTAAAGTATTCGGATGTTCTTTACATAGGTTAAAGAAGACTCATACTATTTTTGTTCACTTATTTCCTTAGAGGTGCTATAAATATAATATGGTAAAAGGAACAAAAAGAGATCTGAATGAGTTAAACATCCCACATTTTTCTTTTTATACTTTTCTTTTTGTGTGTTGGGAAACTCTTGTTACTCAGATGTAAGTAATAAATGAATAAAACCTAGAACTTTTTTTTTCTAATTTGTATGCTTTTACAGGCCTGAACTCAAGATGAACCAAAAAAGTGGGCTTGAGAATAAATCAGAATATAATTAAGGACTATTCTTTGTCTTTTAATGGGATTGAGCTAATTTTATCAGAATGGATTTTGGTTGCACTGTAGCAGGAGTTGTGATTGAGTTAGGAGAGGTAAAAGAGGACAAATGCTCCTGCTGTAGACCAGTGCTCTGAGGGTCTGACCTCTGTTTTCACACAGTGATAGCTCCACATGAGTTAATGCTTTAAATAAGAAATTTGATAATTTTACGAGAGTGGATCAAGGTTCGGGTATGTTTAATCTCTGTTATGGTTTGCTGAATAGACATAATTGAGTGTTGTACATTTGTGTGCATTTCTAAGGTGAAATTGTGAAATATCCTCACGTTGAGTATCTTTGAACGTGATTTGTCCTTCCATACTGGGGTAGTTTCTGTGCATCCACTAGGTAAAATCTCCAGGGAACTTTTTTGCAAGAAGATGCACATTTTGGGATGATCCTGCATTGTGATGCTAAAGATGAATGCGTGCAGTGATATTTCTGCAGTGATTTTATGGATACGAAAGATATTATTATGATTGTTTTGTTGAAAATATAGTCACTGCCTTTCTCTTTCCTCCCCAGAAAAACAAACATGAAAATATTTAGAGCTTGCCTGTTACATAATGGAGTACGACGAACTCCAAGCCAGTCTCAGTCACACCATCTTTGTAAAATTAAGAGATGTAGTCGTGTCTCCTTATTTCGATGGACATGCTTTCCAATGGCTCTACTTATCTTTCTGTCTGATTATTAATTATCCTCCAAACAACTTACTGATCTTCTGTAGTTAGTGATGTTCTATATTCTATATAGATACATTATATATATATATTCTATATTCTATATTCTTCTAAGAATGCATGAACTTTGCTTTTACTTGCAGTTTTTCCCTATCTCCATGATAGCTGCATCCATTTTGTTTTGCTCTCTCAGATTCCTGTTCATCCAGTAAGCAGGACTGCATTCCACATACCTTATTTCAAATGCAGTTAAAATATTTCTCCTCAGGAAGAAAGCATGAAATGGGTTTTTTGGACTGCATCATGCCTCTCTTCTGCTGTATTTGAATAAGCAGATGATGCTTTTCAATCATTTTATATGGGTTTTGTTTTTCTGTTTGCCAACTCATATGAACGTTTTTTCCTGAAAGGACTCATCTTGCACATTAAATGTTCCAGGATTTCATCAGAAGTGGTTGGTATACAGAGAAGGGGCTCATTGAGCTCAAAGTCATCCTTACAACTTATTTTTTACCAGTATGTTTTCAAAACCAGTAACTAATCAAGAAGGCTATAAGGAAGTATAAGTCCCTAGCTGTCCAGCCCAACTAATAAACTAAATTTATCACCAAAATGATGTATACCATTTGTTCTCCTGTCCTCTCTGGGGACTCGAATGAAGAACAGAGTAGTGCAAAATGTATTATGTGCAAATTGTTGGATCTTACTGGAATTTATACTTTTATGAGTGCCTACCACCAGAAACGTGTAGGACAAGCAGCACAGTAGAAGTCACAGAACACTACAAGAACATCATGTCTTCTGGGATACTCAGATTAGCATGTAACTTCAGAGAATCTTATGATACTGCTACCAGTGCTGGGCTTTTTCTTAGGGAGACATTGAATTTGTCCTTCTTGGAAGAACAGATATAAAAACCTTTTTTGCGTTACTAAAGGAACAAGGAAACAAGTTCCCTTCCCATCTTGTGCTATTGAAAGGAGATACTAAATTGTGTCCATAGTCATCTTCTTAATGTTCCAATGGCTCTTTCCCACTTGTGCGTTTTTCACATCTCCAGAATCTCTTAGGAGGTTCAGGTTAATGGGACTGTGTTCTCTGTCATGAACATCTCTTGAGGCACTTTTCAGAGTTCACAGTTGGCACGTAGAAAGGTAATAGCCATGTCAGAAGTTCAGCTGGTTGTTCGTTTTATTTAAATGTAACTCTTTTGCTATTGCTTGCAGATTAAAAATAGAGAATTCTGCTAAGGAGATGTCTTGCCAAAACCTTACATTTTGGATAGAGATTTTTATTGCTTGGAAATGTCAAAATCTGGTAGGACACAGCAGCCTTGACACAAGTGTTATCTCTTAAAATATTGCTTTGAACTGTTATATAAAACCTATTTTAACTTGAACTGTATTGGCAGTGAATAATAGATGCCATAACAACCTTATATATAGCACTGTAAAATTTGCCATCAGAAATACATGAGCTGAACAGTAATGTGCATTGTCAGTGCTCAGTGTTGGCACAAGCCCTGCCATAGCAAATATAGACAATTTAGCCCCCCATGCTTTTCACTGGCACCTGGGAGGAGTTAAAACCTGAATGAGGAATGTTGCCTGACGACTGGAAAGACCCACGGAAGAAAGGTGCTAAATGTCATATTGATTCAGAAGAATGTGATTCTGGTGATCTTTCCCATTCAGACATAGCTTCTCTAGAGATGATCAGAGATCGACAGGAGAAGAAACCAAACACTACCAGCACTTCCTTGGAGTAGCCATCAAGTCATTAAACCCCCTTCATAGTGTTTCTTCCTTTCCTATAGCACTCTGAAATCACACTCCTCTGGTTTCTGGACTGCTGATGTGGTCAACCAGACCCTGGAGAGCATCACGCCCACCACTGCCAGTGGATGAAAGATGGTATTATATCACTCTGCTCTGTGCTGGTGCAGCCTCACTTTAAGCACTGCATGCAGTTTGAGGCATTGAAATGTAAGAAGGACATAAAGTTATTAGAGTATCCAAAGGAGGGCTAGAAAGATGGTGAAGGGGCTGGAGGTCAAGACATGTGAGGAGGCATTAATTTGGCTGATAGAAGATCGTGCACAGTTTTCTCCAGCTATATATGGTCATCAGTGCATGAGAGTCGATGCTCTCTGGTGCTTTGCTAAACTGTGGGAAGTGAGTATAGGTGGAGAACACCTCCTCACAGTTTATAACCATCATTCTCATCCTGGAGAAAGCAAAAGAAAACAACAGAAGTTCATTTTAGCTGGTATTTCTGTTGGCAAAGATGAGTCGAATAAACTGTGGCAATAGGTGTGGGATGCTTTTATTTTTAGGAAACCCTCTTTCCCCTGGATTGGCTTTGAGAAATGTTAATGTTCATTTCCTATCTGTTTTGAAGAGAAATGATAGATGCCAGCATCCAACCCTGTCAGTCAAGCTTTTGGAACCAGACAGAAGATAAAATAAAAATTAAAAAAAAACAAAAACAACTCCACAGAGTCTGTCAGCATGTGTTTGTGTGTTTGTTCATGTAAACATGTTCACTCATTACTACATATAATTTCTTGCTGAGGGGTATTTTCAATAAAATCTCTTACTGATACTAGCAGTTTAGAAGGTTTAATGCAAGCCATTTTCTATCTTTCATCAGCATCGATAATCCAGGGGGTTGATTTATGAAGGCTCTGATTGTCTCTTCACCCAGACCTTTCAACTCAAAAAGTAATGTATAAATAGCATGATATCATGGCAAGCACCGTACATGAAAGATCTGCTGCCATGCGAGTGTCAAACTCTTCAAACTCTCTCCTTTCGGAACAGCGCCGTGGAGCCTAATTATCATGACCATGGGAGCTGCCTGTGGGGTTGATATGGCCATCACTGTGATATTGAGTTGTTCCCTAAAGAATCCGCTCATGTATTTTGGCCAGTCTAATTTAAAATGACCTGAGCTGTAGGACTGCCACCATTTATTTTGGGAGACTATTTCACAGTCCAGCAGACTTCAGCGTTGATGAAATGCTTCCTTCTGTTCTTGCTGAAGTTCCCTTACTCATTCTCAGCTCTTAACACCTAGTAAAACTCTATTGGACCCTGCAAATAATTCTTCTTCCCCTTTGGTGTTTAAACTTCTCGAGTGCTAACAGTTATCTGACACTTCACAAGATACTCTCCTTTGTTTTTCAGTCACTTTGATGCTCTTTTCTCAATTCTTTCCCATTTGTTAATTCCTTCTTACTACAGCAGCAGATTGTACGTAGGGTCTTGGTACTCTACCAAAGCTGAACAAACGAAATGTATTAAACATCTGTGGAGCCAATCTGAAGTTTACAAGCTCTGATGGAAAGATTTCTAGATTATTTCTACACTAGTAAATTAAGCAGTATCAAGGAACACCCACAGATGCCCAGCTCTTGAGACATCAAGGTCAGGCTGGATGGGGCTCTGAGCAACCTGACTGAGCTGTAGGTGTCCCTGTTCATTGCAGGGGAGTTGGACAAGATGGCATTTAAGGGTTCCTTTTCAACTCAAATGATTTTATAA